GTCAAAAGATTCCTGACACTTATCAGACCAATTAAACTTTGATTTTTTTTCTCGACAAGATTATCAGAAACTCGGAAATGATGGAGAAATATGAACAAAATTTCAGATAATATCCGAACATATCCAAATAAATCATCAGTTATTATTTTACTAATTGGCACTGAAATACAGAGATAGCTTAGACCTTAACTTCTACAGGTTAAGTTTACCTTTTCTCACAATATAACAATATAAATTCCGAACGGTTTTCAAGTAATCTTTTGAGGTATAGTTGTAGATTATCACCTCATCTATGTACGTGTCAAAATTATTAAAATCAGATATCATGTTCGTTAAACGCTGTAATGTATTAATGGCATCACTTTATATTGATAAATTATATATGGAGTTACTAATGCCGAAAGTTTGTTTTCTCTTTCAGCGAGAAGAAGTTTCTAGAATCCTTTTTAAAGGTCAAACTTGTGACAGATTCTGCATCTCCAATATTGTAAATTTCCGTAATCTGTTCTTGGCACTTAAGATTAATACGTTTTGTTGACACGCTTGATTTTGTTATGGTCAGTACACGTGCGGAACTTATTAGCTGGCACAAGAACTCATTCTCCAGCAAATATTAATTTTGTCTTCAAATATTCCTGTTTGAGATGATTCGCCATCTAAGGATGCTGTTTCACAAGTTTAGAATATATAAACTTAACATCAAGATAGATTTTATTTGTTCGTAAAGGAGCATCAGGACAACACTGCTTATATCAATACAATAGTTATTTTTATTTACTCTTTCCTTTTCTTTATGTTTGAATAACTTTAATAGTCCACAGACATTATCTCCAAAAGAACTAAAGCCGAATGATTCTTGAATTCATCCCTAATAGCACACATCACAAAATGAACACCTTCATCATAATCCGTTCCTATATAATCAAAAATAAATTATGACCAAATTATCTTTTTCAAAGTTTGATGAAATCTTTCCAAAGCTCTTTGACTTTAAACGTGATATTCAAAAGACTTAAATTGTTGGATCCACAATTCATTGTCCAGAATGGACAGATTTATACTGGCCAACATGTGTAAACATGTGCATATTGTGTGTACTTTACCAAAGCTATTAGTATGGTCTTAGCTGTTATATTTCTCAAAAGAATTGTCTGTATGACAACGACCTTATCTCCTGCTAGTTGATTGCCTAGTATTAAATGAATACTCCTTATAGGTAAATATTGTACTGGACCGACAGTCACGGCTCATGAGACTTCTAAGTATGATGCCAAATTGATGCAAAGACGAGGAATACTAACAAAGCCGAAGTCCACTCCATTAATAAGAACACTTTCACTAGAAATTATACTTCTCAGAAAAAGGCAAATTACTACATAAGACAAGATTCTGAGACGCTTCCTGTGTCCAATAATATTTAATAGGATAGTCAGAATTAACAATAAGTGTTATAGAACCTCTCAACATGAATGATTCACAATTGTACAAAACAGAGTAAGGTTTGGGTTTGTTTGACCCAACCAATGTATTGTTTTTAATATAAAACCCTGACCTTGACGTAATTGAAATAAGAGCATGTAGAATGGTTCTATCTTTATTCTGTTGCTTATTTTGCAATCGAACCGCTCCGGTGGCCTAGTGGTTAGAGCGTCAGCCTCGTATGAGGGAGGTCGTGGGTTCGATCATCGGTCGAGTCATTCCAAAGACCTACAAAAATGGTACTAACAACTTCCTAAACTTGCGCTTAGCATAAACAGGTTAGTGTTAGGAATGGTTGGCCTAGTGTCAGGATAATGTGACTGGATGGGACATCATGCTACATGTCTGCGGCATGATGCCTTAGTGCTAAACATCACTATAAACTGCCACACTGCAGACATCGTAGCGATATGACTGAAAAATTGTTAAAGCTTCGTAAAAAATCATAATCACATCACATCACATTTTACAATCGTAACAATAAGAAATAACAAAATCTTTCTTTACAAATAAGTGCATTTAGGAAGAGATACAAATGTCTGATCAATCTTATCAGAAGTTTGATTTATAAAAGCTAAAACTATGAGACTAAGATGGTTTTCATTCAAAAAAAACTGCTGAGACTGATTGACAAATGAAACTTTATCAGTCGAGGAATAATCACTAGCTCTGCGAGCAAGCATTATCGAACGTTTGCGGTCTTTGCTCATCAAGATAGGCCTTGACACAGATATGCAATCGCTGTTTGAACGTTTCTGTTGCTGTTTGAGGTCATCGTAATCTTTATATACTTTCTTGTTTGAGCACAGCCTATCAAAACATTATTCCTTTTCCATTGCAAATTATACATCGGTTTGTCCAGTTTATTTTCTATAAAACCAAAAGTTTTGTACCAACTCATAGCCATTCAACATACATCCCTTAACCACAACGTAATCAGCAGTTTGTTGTATCAACATTGAAAGCACAAGCTTTGCCAATAAGTACACTTTGAATAATATAATTCTATGCTCTCTTGACCATTTCCAGTTATGAGCGATTTTCTCAAAGCGAATTAAGTATTTGTCTACTTTTTTTAAATGAAAATGAGATACTTACCTAATATTAGTAGTAACATCCAAAATTTGTTTATGAGGAGGAGTCATTTTCCGACTGCCAGTTCTCTCTCTCTCTCTCTCTCTCTCTCTCTCTCTCTCTCTCTCTCTCTCTCTCTCTCTCTCTCTCTCTCTCTCTCTCTCTCTCTCTCTCTCTCTCTCTCTCTCTCTTTCCTAAAACCCTTTAAATTCTACTTCTCTTTCTTTCTCTCAGCCTTTCCTTGACTTCTCTCTGCAATTGTATTTCTCTTTCTTCTTTCGCACTTTGCTTTTGCATTTGCATCTCCTTTTCCTCTTTCTTAGTTTGTTATTCCATCATTTATTTCTAACGCTAAAGTTTTGTTAATTCCAATTCCGTCTGTTTCTTTTTTACAGTACTTCCTTTCATTTCCTTTCAAAATCAAAGACATACTTAATAATCAGACCCAAAGCACTGTCATCCAAAATTTCGTTTCCCAACAAATACTGAACCAAACTATTATTTTTTCGTTGCTTTCTTAAAGATGTATTAACAACGTAAATATCAAAATGTTGGGGAATCTCATAGACACTAAACCCGTCTGAGTAGGATTTTCAAACAAAGTTCACTACATTAGATAACATTGAGAATGCGTGATCAGTTCTCTTAAACCTTTTTACATGAGTGAAATTAGAATCTTTTCAGGGGACAAAAACGTTAAGAAACAAAATCAAGTTAAGTTTTAAAGACAGTTTTTAATATCTTTGAAAGGCTTTAAAGAAATTTAGATCCAGGATGAGCCCGAATTTCTATGACGACTCTGTGCGATGTAAGATAGTGAATCTAAACCAAAACGTTACTAAATTTCAACAAGTAATTTTATTTTCTAAGTTACAAAGCGAAACTTTAAGAAGAGCTAACCTTATTTGTGAAACGGATTTAAAATGATCTTAAATGTTAAATCCCAAGTCAAAAGATTATGGAATATCCCGAATGAATTCAAATAGAGTTGTGAGTGCTGATCTACCAATTGTATTGACTGTGTTGATGTACCTTATTGTTTTGATGTACCACAAAGATATAATCCAGAACGTCTTTTAATGAGCCTGCAGTTATCCAAATAAGTGTTTTAGTACAAACAATTAATGAGCACTTCACAAATTATAACTAAACACAAATAAAAATGATTCCGCAGACTGAATGAAAGGTATAAATGAAGACCTTGTTTACAAAAAAAAAATTACGCAAGCTTTTCTTGACATTAGGACGCATCAGAATGTTTGAAAACAAAACGCATTAACACGTACACAAGGTCAGATCCAGTACCTTCTAGGTTAGTAAACATAGTCAGGTTTTCAACTCAAACTCAAGTAAGCAGCTTTTTTAAAAAAGCGCAAAATGGTCTGGTAGGCCAAAATTTGACCTTCAGTCACGTATATCAAGCAAACAGTACAAATTAAATATATATAACATTTTGGAAATTGGAATATGTACTAGTAACATAGTGGTATTCACCTACATACATGAGCTTTAGACCACAATGCTCGGTGCAACAAGCCTTTATTGCGAATGCAATTACCTCATTGATTCACAGAAGTTCTTTAGTATTTGCAATATTTCATTGACATGAAGGCAGAGTTAGCAATCTGTCAAGCTTTTCAAAAGAAACACTCAAAGAATGAATTCAATGGTGCCTCTGCATCATTCCTTGGGAACTTGCAGAGAAATTCCTCTGATATATATATATATATATATATATATATATATATATATATATATATATATATATATATATATATATATATATATATATATATATATATATATATATATGTATGTATGTATGTATGTATTGAAAGAGCGCTAGTGATGAGAAGAATGAATACCTTTTTCTTTTTACCCTTTAAAAACATCAATCACAAGGTTAAGTTTGACTATTAAAATATCCTTTTAGTCGTAAAGTTATTCAGATCTATGGAAATTTCCGTTTTATTGAAATGTGATGTAGTGAAATTGCATTTCTAAATTGAAGTTTAACTGTTGTAACTTATTTTTAATGGTCATAATAACACAGTTTTTGACATAGAAAATCAAGCGTGGAGTTCAAGTTCAGAGCGGTTGCAACACTCCATAACGGTGTTTTTGTCAAGTGGATATCATTACATATTCCCCTGGATGTAACTGAATTGCCTGTGAGAAAACTTTTATTATTATTAATCTCTTTCTCGTGCTGTCTGTATCACCCGATCTTACTAGGATATACTGATCATCTTAGAGATCCCGAATCATCATTTTGGACAAAAGTGATTCCAACGATATGCACTATTCTTTTGAAATGTGACGACCATAAGGTCAAAGGCTAAGTTTATTAGTTTTAACGGGACTTTTAAAATATTCTTGTTTTTTTTTTTGCCAGGCAATGGAGCTTATTGCCTCCCCAAGAACACACAAAAGTAGCCAACCATGGCAAACCTGGGCGGATATTGAATCTGCGACCTTTGGATTGCGAGTTCAACGCTCTACCAGCTAATTTATCACGGTCAAAGAATATGATCATACATTTTGATTAAACATTAGTGATTGGTTGTTTCAAAGGAAACATAGTTAGATCAAGGCTACAACAATAATGGAAGCAGGCGAGACAATTAATTTAAAAATTTTAATATTCGCAGCAAGCGAAAAAATAAATTCAAAGTTTTTTTCTTAAGTAATTTTCTTATGAGTACTTTTTACATGTAACCTATCGTTATAACAGATACAAAAACTTCACGTTCATTTAGAGTTAAAAAAAATCATGCTCGCTTCTTTGTGAGCGATAATATTGGTCAACGGTTCATACGTATCACCACGTGTTATAGTCTGGTTACCTGCTTCGTATGCTCCCTGCATTGCATCCAGCAATACGAATAGCGGAGTGCAACGCAGTGAGCATACGAAGCAGGAAACCAGACTAGCCGTGTTAATGTTGGAATGACACGAGACAAAATTATGCAACTGGAGTTTGATCTAAAGGAGTAACCAGTGAAACCAGTAAAAACAGAGATCGTTGTGAAAATGGTAATCCGTTGTTTCCATGTAAAATTTTGATGGTAGAACTAAGTCACGAACTACACTAACTTTTTAACAGTAAGATAGACGAGACTTGACTAGGCGCGCTTGCTGCAAAAGAGGTGAAGTTTGATAGTGAAAATAACAGCGGTATTGGGTTGCATTCGATGTTTCGAAATAATTTGGCAAAAGGTATGAATCAAATCTACGTCTTCTGAATTGACATAATTTTATGTCGTTCCACACTGTGGATTTTGTTGCTCTGGTCTTGCACTACAATAACTCTATTTGTTCCTTGTCATTGTAGCAACGATAGATTTTTATGTTGTCAAATCCTACAGCATATAGTCACAAAATACCTCATGCATTGCCTGAAAAAACTAAACAGCTGACATTCAAATAAATATATTGTATAAATATTTGCAAAGCCCGTTGTCGATTCTAATTATTCCAGTTTATAAATAACAAGATTATATTACATTACAATTGATAGAGACAGATGCACGATCGTGTACAATAGTATTATGTCTGGCCTGGTTAACAGCGTCTATCAGCTCGACTTAAATATATACGTACATATAGATGTATGCAAGTTTTATAGATATAACTTCACTGAGACTGTGTCACAGTTCTATCAACAATTTAATAATTATATTGCAAAGTGTTATGTTCCAAATATCAATCGAAGATCTGCATTTACCAATTCAAGGTAGATAATATGAGTGGATGATTTCTAAAGTTTCAGTACAATTAAGAGAATTGACTCGTGTCGGAAGAAAATCGCAAGTCTGCAATATGACGACCCATGGTTATAGAAAAGCTATGAACTGTATGTATGTATGTATGTATGTATGTATGTATGTATGTATGTATGTATGTATGTATGTATGTATGTATGTATGTATGGATGTATGGATGTGTGTATTTAATGAAAATGATAGAAATGAAGAATACAGTTCTATCCAAAGTCATGTGTCATGATCTATGTACTTATAATACACTGTTCCCCATTCAACGCACCATTCCTGGCATCCTAGATGTATTTCAAGATAAAGACGCAGTTTGTGAATGTAAGTCCAAATTTATCTTTAAAATGAGAGTCGGAGATAACATGTATATTGACCTAAATATTACGTGGTCTTATGAAATATATCAGAATGGCGATTTGGGGATGCATTTCTATATGGACGATACTTAACTTTTCAGTGGGTAAGTGTTGGTTATAGAGAACATGAGACAATCTTTATTATCATGTCAAATGAAATTTGTATCTCCATATTTCCCAGAGTAATATTGTTTTGCGTATTTTTTCTGCTCGAACGGATATCCAAACAGCCAGCTTTCATTAAAGAATCTAATATATTAACTCAGCAAATTGCTAATGGCGCAGTTTCATAAACAGTGTTTCAACATTTTCAGCTAATCAGGCTCTTCTGCAAGGAATCGATAATGTACAAACACATAATACAAATATGGAGAGAAAACATTTACATGCTTGAATGACAGGAATGAAAGGAACTGTTACAAAAAACATATTTAAATACACTGTTTTAAAGCTCACACGAAAAACATTATTAAATGTTTAAATTTCATCCATCTGTTTTATTTTGAGGTCAGAATAGCTAATGATCATCAGAAATAATCAAAGGTGGATTGATCCTCGTAAATAAGTATAATCCGAACGGAGAATCAAATTTCATTGACCGTATTCCACGATAAATACAAATGACGGAACAATGGGGAAAAGAAAAAGAACGCCATCTTAGATCAGAAAGTAAAATGCTTGCTAAAATTATTTGTGGAGAAAATAGAAAAGGAAATGAATGGTGAGAAGGTTGCAGAGCAATATTGGAAACAAGTAATAATAATAATAATAATAATAATAATAATAATAATAATAATAATAATAATAATAATAATAATAATAATAATAATAATAGAGTAATGAGTAGATACTATCGCAAAGATATGCATACGAGTTATGCATTTTTACCTGGCTAAATATTGACAAGATTGCATTGGCAAGGTTAACACACATCATTGAAATAAAATTCAACATACGTTCTCAGCTGCAGAACCATTTATTCTTACTTTCTTATGAATCCTATATAGGTCAGCTCAGTCGGTTGTAGCTATAGGAACTTCACTAAATATCTAGTTGAATGGTTAGTCAGATGCACACTATTACGTGACCCCTAATGCTTTCATTTTTTTTTATTAAATCGACCGTTTCGTGGACATTTTGACTGGCGCAGAACTTACATGTCAGGAGATATATTGCATTTCCGCTCGACATCCTAGCTTCTGCACCTTCTGATTAAACAGGAAAGCCAATAACTGAAGCGAACTTTAAAACGACTTAGTCTGTGATTGGCATACTCTGTCTCAACTATTGCTTCGTTGGTATGGAAACGCAGAGATGAAATTCCAGTCGCTAGTCGACAAAATCTCTCTCTCTCTCTCTCTCTCTCTCTCTCTCTCTCTCTCTCTCTCTCTCTCTCTCTCTCTCTCTCTCTCTCTCTCTCTCTCTCTCTCTCTCTCTCATATTTGCTAAGATGAACGAAATGGAAGGTTGAACAAATTATATTCAACAAACAACATAAATGAGAGCACAATATTTCTGTAAGTTTGGATGGACAAATTAATAATTTTACCTTGTACGTTTGTGTTTAAAAATAATTTGTATTAAACAGGAAACTCGTTACATTTTCAGCTTCCTGTCTTGTCCTGGGCGACTGGTCATGTGACTCGTCCATAGCAACCACTTGCCCAACTGCTTGCATTGTAGTTGATTCCCAGTCTGGATGTCTCTACTGCAAAAGCAACTGTCGTAAGTCATGCGCATACCACAAGATATAGGTCAATATGGACGATATCCAGGTCACAAAATTAAAAGAAACTTTCCTTTACAATATATTTATGTATTTCAGTTTCCCATGCGGAGAAAAGGGGGGGGGTAAAAATAAGAGAAAAAAGAAATATATTTTTACAGTTTGGTTTTCAAGGTCCGATGTATAAAATGACAAATGTCAGTCTGAACAAATATTCCATTTTTCTAATCATCCAACACCTACCCAGGTGCTTGTTCGTGTCAAGTGTTGACGATGTTTTGTATTTCTTAACATTTGGTTTGAAATTTCCTAGAGAATGAAAGTCGATTAAGCTCTGATCTTGTCTTACGACAAAAAAAAAAAGGATATAACAAAATTCCAAGGGAACACAACTGACTGTAAGATGTACATCGCCGAAAATAAGAAAATATACTCTTTTAATTCACGGGGGGCTTACTGGAAAATTTTTCCTATGGCACCCAAATCCGGTCCGCAGCCCTGGCCTAACTTGAAACAAATTCTATTTTACAGGGTCATGTACGAACATCAATATAAATAAGTTTACCGTGTGTGTGTGTGTGTGTGTGTGTGTGTGTGTGTGTGCGTGTGTGTGTGTGTGTGTGTGTGTGTGATTTGAATTTTTGACATAGCTTTAAAAACTTTCATTCATATCGCTACGATGTCTCCAGTGTGACAGTTTATAGTGATGTCTAACACTGGAGCATCGTGCCGCAGACATGTAACATGATGTCCCACTCAGTCACATTGTCCTGACACCAGGCCGACCATTCCCAATAATAACCTCTTAGTACCATTTTTGTAAGTCTCTGGTATGACACGCTCAGGGATCTAACCCACGACCTCTCTCCTGCATCCGAGGCGGACACTCTAACCACCAGGCCACCGAAGAGGTCTTTGCCATAAACAAACATTACGTCAAATTTATAGCTGATGACCTTATTTTTTGACAAAGCTGATACAATATTGCTGTTGTGTTCTTTGTGTTCTTTGAGGAAGGTCATTCTTCTTATTGATTAATAAAAAAAGTTCTAATTTTAACGGTACTTTCTCAATTATAAAAGGTGCATTTGAAACTACTACTGTGCTTTTGATATACTGTATTTTCGCGCTCTTGAATGTAATTTAAGCCATTAAGCTTTTTTAAGCCATGTAATTAAAGCCATTAAACTTGCACTTTTTCATTGGTGTCTTTTAGTAACCCAGATACAATGTTAAATGCCTAGTAGGGTCAGCAGTTACGTAAAACGTAATGTTAAATTCCCAAAGGGACCCATTATACCTCGACCCATGGCAACCTTTATGAGAATAGTTTCTCATATTGACCCCAAAAACTACTTACTATCTGTAACCTTTGGGGTAAATTCGACTCGAAATTGAGCTGTATACATCCTTTGCTTAAAAGAATACTAACCTATTATTCTGATATTTACATCAAATTTGCCTGTCATAAGAAAGTTCCGAAATAAGTATAATGTAATACATCCAGTTTATTTTAACAATATGCATGTTTAAAAAGTTGAGATGTCATTTTAAAACCCTTAAAACACACGCAAAAGGTATAAACCATAAAGGTGTCATGAATATAAATCATAACATAACTACATTGAATCCAATTCTATATATTACCATTTCATAGTGGAAA